TGTACACATACGTAGCTGCAGATCATTGGTAACAGGACTTAAAAATCAAAACATTAGGACTTAATGTGCAGATTATACTACAATGTAGATGTATCTAGTTGCAAATCAACAGTAATCAGACTTAAAAATCAAATTAGAACTCAACAGAACACAACAACATTTTATTAAATGGGGAGATTTACTTGACATATTACTAATTTAGATGAACCCAATTGTATTTTTCCATTCTAAAGCCGAGTTTATGGTGTTTTAATATTTCCAGATGGTCCTTCAAAGTCACCCAACAAAGAAATCTTCAGCCCAACCTAATCATGATTTCACATCCATAAATTTATCCAAAAAATTTAATAGAATTCTAACTACAAACATACACTACTTCATCTGATAAAGAATTCCACAAGTTAACAACTTCAACACAAAATTATATTGCAAAACCAATAGTCTAGATCTGGGCTTTCAGAGCTTATTTCTTCTAATATTTAACATTTTATTTTTGACCTTATGCTTCCATCAATGTAACAAATGTTCCCCAAATAAAATAAACCAATATAGTTCTTCTTCATACCTGTGAAAATTTCAGATCTTTGAATCCCTCCTCATGCTTATAACTTCCTGAGTTTCAAACCAGGAATCACTTTTGGTAGCCCATTTCTGAGCTTTTAAGTAAATAAATATCTTATATAATATGGGTACTATAACTAAATGAGACTATTCTAAATTTTTGTACAAAAGTATCAATAACTTTCCTTATCCTGAACTCAACATTTCTGTCAATAATTCGCAGAACTCTACTTCTTTTCATCACTTTTAGACATTCTGCCAAAGACTTGAGGCTTTTATCAAAAATCACACCAAATCCATCACACAACAATAATATTTTTCCCACTCAAAAATAAAACTAAGTTCTACATCCTAAATGTATCACTACTTTTTTTAATGTTAAAACTCATTCTCTCCAGATTAAATCACTGCATTAAGGAAGCATTTTTCAAAGAATAAGCCTTATCATCAGCAAATTTGGATATTTTACAGTTAATACAATAGTCAATATTACTGACAGACATAATGGACAACAAAGTCCCAAGACAGATCTTGAGGGACTGCTCTAGTCACACTTTTTCAACCTGAATTATGCCAATTCATTAGAACTTTTCTCCCATCAAGACATTTTTTAATCTACCTTTTGAAGTTTTTTCATTTCCATAGGTACCTAATTTAATAATAAACTTATTGTAAGGTGTCTTATCAGATGCCTTCTGGAAGTCTAGACACACAACATCAATAGGAGAATACCGTCAGTCAGCCAATCAAAATCCTATTCACAAATCTCAAACAAATAAGTGAGACAAGAAAAACATTTTCTAAAGTAATGTTGGAAAATTTCAATCAAACTTCAACCTCGAAGGTGGTTTCCAAAGTGCTCTCTGACAGTGGGATTCCAAAATTCAGATTACTTGGACTATAATTTCCAGTGTATTCCCTTGACCTCTTCTTTTTGAAAATAGGATCACATTAGCTTCTTTAGATAAATCTCACCAGTGTTATGAGCTTTTCTAGATGTATCTACAAAATGTCTACATTTTTATAAAACATGAATTTCTTTCATAATAATAATATTACCTAAGCAAAAATATCTTCCACCCTTTATATGCATTAAACAAATTAGGTATTTCACTGTCATCATATTTAAAAGTTGTTCGACATCTGAGCCATGTATTCCTTCTCAACAACAAGATTTAACAATTAGTTTTAGTTCTTGAAAACTATGTTTACAATTTACCTAAATTTTCTTTATAATATTTCTACTTAGTCATTTATAGCTTGAATGTAAAAAAAATGTACCAGGATGAGTTATTTGTATTCTTTTTGAGCAAAATTAGAAGATCTAGTAATAAAATCCCAAGTGTCTCTCTTACTTCTCCTTTTAAGCTAGTTTTCTAATCAGTTTCTTTTAATCAAATTAGTTAGCTTCAGAAAATCAATCTTTCTAATGTGAGAGATGTACTTCTTTCTTTACTCCTTGTCTCTGAGTGAAAGTCATTATGATCACTGGTACTTCTTGCACAGTAAAACTTCTAACCATATCCTCTTCAGAACTGAAAACAATGTCTAACATAATTATCCTTTCTAGTAGATTGTAGTATACTGAGTTAGAAAACAATCTTCCACCACATCAATGAATTCTTCAGCCTCATATCCAAGAGCCATGTGAATCCAATGTTATCTATGCCTCTAAACCAAAGTTTCCAATAACAATAAACCCAGTTCTATAAGAAGCATAACCAATGTGCATGTACATATTCCTCTCATTATATATTTCAAGTTCAAGGGGACTTTAAACAATTCCAATAATTATATTTTCCTTCTCCATTTATCAACTCAACTTATAATATTTTGACATTATTATAAGACTTTGAGATACATCTCTCACAATCATTCTTTGAAAAACAAAATTCCTTCCCTGTGGCTTACATGATCTAAATCTCTCATCATTGTAATCATTATTTAATCATAACTAAAACTTGCTAAGAGCCACTAAAATTTTAACTTCTAAAGATTTATTACAGATACTTCAAGTAGTAATGTAAAAAATAAAGTTTCTTATTTTTTTTATTCAACACCTTGTATTCAGTAAAATAATGTGAATCAACTATTATAAATCAAGTTAAAAAACCCAATGTGTGGGCAAACAGATGAATTTAACCTGTTAATTTAGAAAAATAAAGTAATTTCTCACATTTAAACTTTGCATCTTACTTAAAACTCTAGTCCGCACCAGATACAGGAGGATATTCCCAAAAGAGCTAAACAGCTTTTCTACGTTAAAACTCGGCAATAGCTCTCTGTACTTATTAATTATCTCTTCTGACATGTCATCAGTAATGTCATTTGTTCCAATGTGCACTATAAAAGCTGAATCTTCTTGTGTTTCAGCTACAAGACTCTCTACTTTGTCAAGCACATCCTGAACTTTGGCACATTCTAGTTTTCTAGCTCTACTATAGATAAAATCAATTCATCATTAAATTAAGAATACATTATCACTAACATTTCACATGCTTTCTCTTCCTTCATAACAATAAAGGTTTCAGAACTACTTGATACCGTTATCAGTACTTGCTTTAGAACAGCTTCATTAGCTCTAACCCTACATGTTTTATTTCACAATTAAGTAAGCCCATTATTATTCTACTTTCATTTATCATAATATAAAGAACCTACTTAACTTTAGTCTTCTAATTAATTTTTAACTATCACAATTTTCAGTTCCAACATACTATTTTCACACCGCAAATTAGCAATTTTCTCTCAAGAAAGTTAAAACTTTCCTGTAACAAGCAAGAAGTTCTACAAATAAAGTACATCAAGTCACCTTGGGACTACTTAAAAATATGGCTTACAGTGACATATTCATATTCACTTCATTAGCCACCATAACTATGCAACCAGTTCTTATCACACTCACAACCATATACTTACTCAATCAGGGATTAAAATTAAAACCATATTTTTAATATAAAACTAATGTGTATTGCTATCCTTTACTTCACAGTTTGTATAAACTCCATCTATTGTCAACAACTGTGAACTAAGTACAGCAATAAGCTACACTACTGTGCATGCGGTGTCCATCATCCATAAGAGAAAATCTTTTTTCATGTATTTCAAAAATGCATTTCCTCAAGACAGAAGACATTCTCAGACTAAAATCTTTTGGGTGCTACCCTTATCATCAGCAATATGAGCATGGGGCAATGACATCCTCTAATCCTATTATGAAAATATGGTAACTTTTCTCACCAGTATTATGCTGTATAAAGTTAACATAATTTTCTTGCTCTTATATTAAAAATTACTACAAATAAGTTCCAAAACTATTTAACACATCTATACATTAAATATAAACTCTAACACAAACCATGTATATTTCATATCTTGAGACTCTGTCCTTAAAATAAAAACAGGAAGTTGAGGAACTTTGGTTTCTAGCTAAGCAAAGAAATGGACCAAACAAGACAACATACAGCTATATGCTATTCCTTGTCATCTTTAGTTGAAAATTGGTTTTAAGGTTAAGGATTAAAAATAAAGTTAGCATACAAATTTAAAAAACAGATGATAACTGCTATATTGAACATAATACTGTTTGATTATAACTGTTAATTATCATCTGTAATTACATGCTAGAACTGCACATGTATTGTTGTGTAATGTAGTCAAATGTTGACAGCATCTGTAGTGAAGATCATTACACTTATAGCAAGGAGTTAGCATTTCAATGTTTAACTTTATGTGCAAGTGACAGATTAAACAAAAGATCATTTTCAATCTTGTGAAGAAACAGGAATCCTTCTACAATTTGCTGAATAACCATTACTGTATATATTTTTGCTTATTCATCAAATAATTTACACAAATAGTCTTGGCTCTGTATATTTACAATAATGTTTCACAGATTTACTCACATCAAATGTAATTCAAACAATTAAATAAAATCAAGATAAGAATGCTATATGTGATAGAAAAGAAACTTTACATTATTTAACTGGATTGCAATTCTTCTTTTAGGCAAGGAAGTGTGTCACAATTAAATATTTCATAATATTTTACAAAGATTTTTTCATTTCTCAAGAAGCTATGTGATGTCACCGATTTTGCTCTTAAGCATTGTTTTAACTTTTACTAAGTTTGAAACATGAAAATGTTGTACAATTTATAATGATCAATAAGTGCTTGTTTAAATCAAGTAATATAGATGCCCAATTTTATTATTAAAAATAAAGTTTCATTTTAACTTAAAAATGTACGAGCTTTTTTTTCAATTCTACTTATTGAGTTATTCAAATTATGTTGTTGCTTTACTGCACACAGTCTAGAACAGATCACATTACACTTCTATAAATCACATAACTTCTGTGCTACATCATAGTCAACGGTAGTCTAGTACAAATATATATATATATATATATATATATTCGGCGGTAATCTAGCTTACTTACCTTTTCTCCAAATAGTGCATTACCCAGTCGAAAACTTCTCCTTCCACATCTTCTGGCTTAAGACGAAAACTTCCAATGAATCTAAATCGATGCTGTACACATTCATCTGATCCTGGAGAACTTTCATTATTAAATTCATTAAAAAAACTTTCAATTAAACTCAGTCCTTCTACCGACTTCTCCATCACAATTGAGTGTCAACACTTGAAATACGGTTTAGATTGCCCTAGTAACTATAAAGTACTAAGTTCTGACATCTATTGGTGACTTAATCAAATTTCCTGTTGCGTAAAGATAGGAAGTGGGTAATATTTATGATGAAACGTCATTGTAATATGTTAATCATATATGTAAAAATTCGACTTTGATAGAGGAAATATAATTTATAGCTAAAAAAATATAATCTTAAAAAGTATTCTTGTGTTTACACGTCCAGAAAACGCTGATAATTTTTATTCTTCTATTTTAACAGTACAATTATACTTAAGGCGGGAATAGAAATAAAATCAACGTGAAAATACTTACTTTTCATTCATATAATATTTTCTTTAATGCAGTATCAGATAAAAATAAGGGATGAGCCCTACATTTCACGTTATAAGAGCATAAAAACCAAAAACCGTTTAGATATTCATAAATAAATACATACTTTTAACATCGAAGCTGTGAAGAAATTCTGTCTTAAATATTTCTTTAAAAAATAACGTGGCTATACTTTTTGTATTATTTTTATTTTTAAAAGGTTTCCGTTATTTATATCTACATCTTCTCTGATATGAGGCAACAACTTTCAATTGTACTACCCCGATGTTGTACACATTCATCGGCTCCCATGTAACTTTCGTAACTAAGTATTCTCAACAACGACTAGCTAAAAAGGACACATTGTTTTACGTTTTATTGCCATCTATGGATGCAGAGTAATGTTGAAACTTAAAAGGTTAATCTGAACTAACAACTCAACAATATTCGATATATGTTTTTTTTTTAATACCTGTAAAGCGCAAATCACTACTCATGAAAAAATGAATGACGCAGCTTCAAATATCAATAATTAAAAACTACAACAGGTGCCATTTGGCTTGTCATTCGGTACGTGCAAGTTATACTGCATTTATGAAAATATACCCAATTAAGTTACATAAAAACAACATATACACTTAATAACTTATTTCATACTCTTTGGTAACTATATTGTTACGTCTCCGTTTGTTAATTAACTTTCCGTAACTTCGTTCCG